GCCACATTGATAGCACAATTCTCCCATAAGTGCCAATTGTTAATGGCCATTCAGAAGCCTGAAGCGTATGGTTTTCTACAGGAAGAAGAAATATTTCCACCGCACAAGAGATTCCCGGGAGTGTACTTGATTTGGCTCCTTGCAAAACTGCAGCCTGAATCGATCACTGGAAATGACCTCCGCCTTCCCTTTAAGCTCACGCAACTCGTAAAGGCACTGTGGCATCTCAAGGAACCAACCTGAGATGCTACAGTGCCTTTTCTTGTTTAAAGAAACAAGAAAAGTGCATTGTACTTGGGAGTATCCTGAGGTTCCTGCTTGGATACTAAATTTATTCATGCTGACCCACCGCGTGACAAGAGTGGCATAGTACTTTGACTCTGGAGACTAGGATTAGCCATGTAAACCCACTAGGTGACCTTGCACAAGTCATACTCTCTCAGCCTCAGAGGATGGCAATGGCAAACTCCCTCTGAAGAAACTTGCCAAGAAAACACCGTGATAGATTTGCCTTAGGGTCGCCATAAGTCAGAAATGACTTGAAAGCACACAACAACAACCACAACCAAACCCTCCAATGGTCCTGATTTGGCAGGGATTATCCAGATTAATCCTCTGCCATCCCACTTTCTCAGCTGCTTTTTAAATGTCCCAGTTTCTCCTCCCGATTTCTCCCTTTCTCTTCAGCTTATTGCAACTGCAGCAAACTGAGTTCCAAGTACAAAAGGAGTTTGCATTCAGTGAACTCAGAGGAGGAAGAGGAGAGGGAAAGGCGATGGCAAACCTCCTCTGAACAAACCTTGCCAAGGAAACTGCATGATAGTGTTTCTCATGCTGCTCCCCTCTTCTTTCCTTATGGATCTGAGTTTTCAAAATGTGTTAATTTTGGGGGGCAGGCCAAAAAAAATTATTGACACCCCCTGTTTGTCATCCACACATCCTATAAAATTTTGAAGGTTAGCGATGACGTGAACAGACAGAGCCAGGCCCTTTCTGAGCTGGAGAATAAAATGGTCTTCAGAGGAGATATATATATATATATATCTCCTCTGAAGATATATATAAAATTGACAGTTGCTGCCATTATCTATGCTGAGCAGGTAAATCTCTATGAGAAGGAAAGGCCGCACGCTGGAAGCCAGGAAAAAGGCAGTGTGTGTTTGCCATATTCTTTGGCATCAGGAAAGAGAGTGATAAGGAATCAAGCTTTCTACCATTGCTTTAGAGAAAAAGGAGAGAGGATTAATTTAGGTACCATTTTTCTGTGGAGCTCTGCTGCCCTCTAGTGGAACTGAAGGGCATGGTTTTAGTCTTCCAGTACCATAGAGTCATGGGATCATAGAGTTGGAAGAGATCCCAAGAGGCTATCCAGTCCAACCCCATTCAACCTTACAGAAATACACACAAGGTGCCACAACCAACTACAATTCCCAAAATCCCAAAATAATTTTGTAGTATAATTATTTTGTGAGAGCAGTGTGGGACTGTGGTTTGAGTATTGGACTATGACTCTGGAGACCAGGGTTCAATTCCC